TGTAGCTGGAGATAGTCTTTTTTAGCCTTAAATAGCTGGTCAGCCCAATCACGGCAGCTAGTAGGAGTGCACATGAGATTGATCCTATTAGTGCTGTTTAAAAATAAAGCAAAAGCAGAATTTGCGTTTAGTTTTATGCGATAATGACCAGAATAGCTTCATTCCCTGATTAATGTTAGTCGTCTATCCGGACTGGTTCTATTGTCTAATCCTGTTCCCCACAACTTTGACGTTCGTGGCACTATCTTTGGCTCTACGTGAGGCTGTACTCAGCTAGTCTAATTTATCACTAGTTTATGGTGGACTTAGCATATCAGTTAGCCGACTTCAAGTCTGTATCCTCACTCGTCCTTTCCCGGGCTCCGGTCGTGTGCGTTAATTTACTAGCAGTCTTGGCTCACAGGTCTATTACACCGTCTCACCTGTTGCAGAAATAAATACCATCCGCTTGACGCATATCTCATCTGCGCGGGTGGCAGCCTTTTTTAGCCGGATGACCCACTCTGGATCTGGCCGGTAAGAGTCCCTTGGCATTTTTACTTCGCATGGCTCGGCTTCCCTTCCCTCGCCTGGCGCCGTAGGCGAGATTTTGGTAGATTCTTTTTCGTCTATCGGGCTCGTCCTCGGTACCTCCATGTCGCTCCGGCACACTAACAAGTTAACTGGATGGAAGCAGCTAAGCACCGCGCTCGTCTCTGCAAGGGTCACCTGTAGATAAATTAATAGAATAATAATTTACCTGCTCGGCGAACTTTTACTTTAACTAATTTATCAGGCTAGTTTCCGGGGCTAATTTCCGTGTCCAATGTGCTAGTGGTCAGACCGTCATGGAACAACAGTGATCGGCTAGTAACCGTCTGCTCTTTTGCTGCTCTATAGTGCCTTACAGACTTCGTTCCCGCCTACAGCGGTCGCTAGGAGTCTTCAGGTCTGGGTTTTTCGTCACATCAAGATATGTATATAATTCTGCACATGAGCAGTATGTCCTTATTGGCTCTGATTTCGGAAGTTTCGTTTCATTTCTAAAATTTTAATTTGGTACCTCGTATCTGTGGGTATTTATCATTCGTAATACATATGGATAAAATTTTTCGTAACACGGGCTCTTTACCATTAACTCGGGGCTTCTCTGCCATAATTCCAAAGCCACTAATATCATATAATACTTTTAGCATACAACGAAACATTTAGCTTAACTGGATTTGGTTTATTCTCTCCGTTAAGTTGGGTATCTTGTTAAGAACGCTTTGCTAGGTACCGATACCTCCGAATTTGCTAGCCATCCGCGTGCCACATGGCAACTGCCGAACAATCACGAGTGGTGGGATTATGATTTACCTATTTTGGGTTGTATTGTAAACTGTCGTTTACTTCATTTTGCTTTAACCGATTTCGACGCTTCTTTTCGAACTTATAAG